CTCCGTGCGCTGAATCGCGTCCGTCTCGTATTTGGTTCTCCACTGGGCCACTTCGCTGTTGGCCTTGGACAGGGCGCGCTGCAGCTCCCCCTTGGCTTCCTGCTCCTCCTCATATTGTTCCCGCAGCAAGTCACAGTCGTGGCGAGCGGACTGCAGGGCGTGGGCCAGGGCGTTCTTGGCCTGTGGGGAAAATATTGCAATAATAAGTAGATGTATCCCAGGAAATTTTCTCTAGGCACTGATACATATCCACAGAAATATCAGTTAACTGACTGCAGGATAAGAAGTTGAGAGTCCTGCACTGACAGGGCCTAGATTGCATGACCTGGGGAGATGATTTGAACTTTTATTGTATCACCCTGTAAGTCTTGGACATTTTGTGAGAATCAATGTTAGGTCAGAGATTTTATATGTAATCTGTATATCTTCACCTTTATCTCTTCTTCTAGTTGCCGCTTCAGTTCTTCAATCTGCTGGGTGAAAGCCTGTTTCCCTCTAGTCAGCTGAGAAATTAAACCATCTTTTTCCTCCACCTGGCGTCCATATTCACCTGGAAAAATTTGTAGTTGAGAAAACATTTTAATAGCCAAGAAAGTAATTTCTGGAGTTCTCCCATTTCCATATTAGACATAGAAGTGCTGTACCAGATTCTGTCTGTAGACGTGCTCTTTGAGCACTAAGATCACTGATCATGCGCTGATTCTGCTCCTCCTTTGTTTTATATTCACTCAGCTGGTCTTCCAGGGTGCGGCACATCTTCTCTAGGTTCGCCTAGGTACCAATCACACATAAGAAAATAGAGTAAATGTCTTGATCCTTCCTTCTTCACAGGAGTAAAATGTATCCAGGAGATGCAGTTTACAGGTCTGTATATACACCCATAGTTCTGTACATTAGATTTGGAAAAATCACTTATAACCTGATACTACTTAAATAATATAAGGTTAAACAAAAATATCACATTGCTTCCAAATTCCTAATAAAAATACTTGTGTACCTTGGCTTTGGAAACAGACTCTATGTTACTGGCCAGGTCATCAATCTCCATCTTGAGCTCACTCTTCTCCTTCTCCAGCTTCTGCTTGACGCGTTGCAGGTTGTCGATCTGCTCCCCGAGCTCAGCTGTGCTGTCCGCGTGCTTCTTGCGCAGGGCGGCAGCCGTGGCTTCGTGCTGCAGCGTGGCCTCTTCGAGGTCGCGGCGCATCTTCTGGAAT